GGCTACCCCGATTCTGAATTGGGACAGCCGGATTCTGAATCGGGCGGATTCCAATCTGGGGTACGACATATATATATACTTACGGCCTATATGTGAGTTTAGAAAATCTTGCCAATGCCTTTTTTAGCATTGGGTGAACATATGTTGTCATGTACTCATCTTCACTTAGATCTCGCTTTTTTAATGGATTATCCGACTCTGTATATGAATCAATGCTATAAAAAAAAAAAAAAAAAAAAATTAAATTTTGAAGAGGAATTTCGTGTGGTGTCGATTATTTGCTTACAATAATTTGAAAAGCGCGATAATTACAATATTGGAAGAACTTCGAACATAAATCTTTTCATATTTTGTATGAATGAATCGGGTTCATAATCTAGTAGATTTTCAATTTCATTTCGCCACTGTTCATTTGTTAGATCCTATCAACAAAGAGCAATAAGTAAAATGCAAAAATTAAAAAAAAATTTAAATAAAACAGATCATACAGTACCCTTGAAAAAAATGCAAAAAGGAAACTAAAGGCTTGTTCAGGAAAAAGGTTATCGATTGAACCAAACATATCCGCAATGAATTTAACATAATGTTCTTCTTCGGTACACATAAGAACAAACTCAGATGACGGTCTAAGATCCATTATTTCATTAATTATTAATAAATTTTGAAAGTGTTTAATATATTCTTGAAAATTAAGAAGACTTTGCACTTCTGAAGAGATTATTTGCAATTCTCCTAAAAGATTTTTCGCAATTAATCCATAGTCACTTGAACTAGTTGCCATATTATTATACACCTCATCACAATTGTCAATTCTTGAACTCGTTGCTGTGTTATTACGCTCTTCATCACAGTTGTCAATTCTTCTTATTTTAGACAGAAAAATTTCAGACAGAAAAAATTGATCTAATTTATTCAGAAGACTCGATGCTTTATTACGAACTTTTTGACTCATAGAATTGTGAGTACTAATTAAATGAAGGTGAAATTCTAATTCCATTTTAATGTCTTCACAGTCTTCTTTTGTAATATCATCATTTAATATAGGGCTAATGCAGTTAAGAAGATCCCACTCGCCATATGGAATATCGTGAAAATAGATTGAAATTTGGTTTAAAATACTCATTCTATAAAATATAGTAAATCAATTATTAGTACCAATAATAAGAGTAATTTGGCGTAGAAAAGATGAGCATCTACAAAGGGCGGTGAAGCTGTTGACACTAAGATTCCTAAGACTCTAACGATCATAGAAACCCATCTAATCCCAATATACTGGAAGCTATTAAGCTGTTGGCACTAAGACTTAGTGGGGGCTTCAAGAACTTCTTTCTATATATCAAACGAAGGAACTGCACTTAAGTGAACAAGGTTCAATGATCATAAGACGCCTATTTGATCCAATATACTGAAATGAAGCTGTCGAGTTATTAGCATTAAGATTCTTAATTCCTAATGTAGGATCTAAGAACTTCTTTCTATATATTGAATAGGCGTCCAAAAAGTAAACAAGGTCTAACGAACATAAAACACGTTTGATCCATATACTGAAAAAATATACTTCAAAGCTGTTGGCACTATAAGTTTTTAGGCTCTTAGTAGAGGCTTTAAAATTCTCCCAGTATCTTGACTGAAGAAGCTTCACCCAGATGAACAAGTTCCAGCGAATGTGGGATATTGTCTATGCTAATTGGTTTAAAAAAAAAGTAATGAAATAACACGTTACCTTTGGTTATAAGATTATGCTTTTGCAGAAAGACGATTTCAGAACTAAAGAGCATTAATATGATTGATAGATAGTTTTAGCGGTTTGTTGTTCTGTTTAAAATCTTTTAACGTATCTAAAATCTTTAGCTTTTAAAAAGTTTAACGTGTCTAAAATCTTTAGCTTTTAAAAAAAACAGATGCCACATTTTTAATATATATTTTATACTCTAAAATTTATAACGTATGTTTGGTGTAAGAAGTCTAAAACACATATCACGTGACTATAGAAGATTATAAAGAATATTATACCGTAAATTCTCAAAATAACAGGCATGGGCATTATTTTGGGTTTTGGCCTGAATTAAGCTTAATTTAGGCCAAATTTCGTAATTTCACCCCTGGGCGTTATTTCAAGAATTTACGGTATACTGTAATATATAAATATTATAAACAATTATTATAAACCAACATTTTACTTTAAACACCACAGGTGCTGATATTTAATATATCAGATATATTAATAATACATAGATTTTTTTTAATTTATTTAAGTTATTAACTAAAATATTTGACCACTCAAATAAAATATTTTTTTTTATTGAAGTAAAAAATTGATTAGCTGATTTAATATGTAATACAAAATTTTTTGCAGTTTGTGTACAAGTAATTTCCTTTTTAATCGCTATATGTGTAGATCGATTGATTAATTTAGTTATTTATAGACAAGGTGCATTATACAAGCCAAACTGATTTTAAGAAACATTCAATATCGACTGAACATTAGCTATTAGATTAGCGAAATGAGAAGAAATGCGTTGCAAACTTCGAACAAAACGTCTTATTATATAATATCTTGTGTTACATTGTATGACAAAACAATATTTGTAATGATTTTTAAATTAATAAGCCAACCAATCCCCCTTTCAATTAGAGGGTTCATAAGTTTAACCTTCTAGTAGATTCTTGTGCTTAGCCAGATACTACGTACCTTATATTCAAATTTTGGCGTATCAATCTTCACTGATCCAAAAATATCATAGACAATATTCGGTATTTGTCTATACTCGTATC